TCCTCATAACTGAATTTCCTCCTTCTGGGAACCATTTTTGTAAATCTCTCCTGCACTTACTACAATGTGATTATATTCTTCCTATTATATGGCACCTGGAACAGTAAACAATGGTCATGCTGAGGTCTAACAACTGACTTGTCTCACCTCCTTGCTCCTGTATTTTAAGTCCCTGTTAATAAAGCAAAGCATACTGTTTCATTTATTAATTATTCTCTCCACTTAGCTTGGCACCTTCAGTGATCAATGTACATGTACACCCAGGTCCTTCTGCTCCTGGACCCTCTTTTGTATCCTCTATTCTATAGTGTCTGTCAATTTTCTAGCTACCACAATGAATCACCTCATAGTTCTCTGCATTGAACTTAATCTGCCACCTACCTGCCTGCTTCACCAACTTGTCTTTGCCCTTTTGGAGCTCTACATTCTATCCTCCTCACAGTTTACAATTCTTCAAAGTTTTGTATCCCCCCACAAAGTTTGAAATTGTCCTATTGCACCATGATCTAGATCATTAATATATATCTAAAGAAGCAACAGTATCAATACTGATCCCAGGGAACTCCACTCCAACTTTCCTCCAGCCCAAAAATGTCCATTGACCACTACTCTCCATTTCCTATAACTCAGCCAAGTATGTATACACATAGTTACTATCCCTTTTATTCCATGAGCTATAACATTTCTCACAAGTTGGCCATTACTGTATCAAATACCTTTTCGAAGTCTATGTACACTGCATCAACAGTATTACCAGTATCCACCCTTCCTTTTATGTCTTCAAAAAACTCCATCAAGTTAGGTAAACATGATTTCCCCCTTAGAAATCCATGCTGGCTGTTCCTAAACAACCTTCCTTTTTTCACAGGTGACTACTAATTCTATCCTGAATCATTTTTTCTAGAAGCTTCCCCACCATTGAAATTAAACTGGAACAAAAACAGAAGTTGCTGGAAAAGCTCAGCAGGTCTGGCCGCATCCGTGAAGAAAAAAATTGAAGTTAACAAGGAAGGGTGACCGGACCCGAAACGTTAACTCTGATTTTTTCTTCACAGATGCCGCCAAACCTCTGAGCATTTCCAGCAACTTCTGTTTTTGTTCCTGATTTACAGCAGTTTTTATTGAAATTAAACTTGTTGGTCTGTAATTGCTGGGCCTATCCTAACAAATATTTTGAATAAGGGCATAATGTCTGCAGTACCCAGGTTCTCTGCAATCTCCTTTGAATCTAGCAAAGACTGAAAGATTATTGCCAAACTCTATTCTCCCTTCTTTCAGTATACTTAGATGCTGCTCATCTATTGTCAATGCCTTGTCAACTTACCTATGGAGTGTTGTATGACTGGAGCAGGTTACGTAAGTATTTAGGATGAAGAGATCATGGAGGAATTGAAAGCAAGAGTTCTGGATTTTAAGTTTGAGGCACTGTCAGTTAATGTGGAACAGTGAGCACACAAGTAAGAGAGTGGACAAAACAATGGCAGATGGCGTTCAATGTAAGCAGGTGTGCGGTTATCTATTTTGGACAAAAAAGTATAGATTTGGATAACTTCTAAATGGTATGAAGTTAAATACAGTGAATTTCTAAAGAGACTTGGGGGTTTAGGTGCATTGATCTTTAAAATGTCATGAATTAGTGCAGAAAATAATCAAGAAAGCTAATGGAATGCTGGCCTTTATTATCTAGAAGACGAGAGTGCAAAGATGCAGAAGTTATGCTGTAGTTACACAAAACCCTGGGAAGAGTCCACTTGAAGTACTGTGAGCAGATCTGGGCACCACACCAGAGAAACAATGGAGGGAGGCTTTGGAGGGAGTACAACGTAGGTTTACAAGAATGATATCTGGACTTCGAGGGTTAAGTTATGAGGAGAGATTATAAAAACTGGGCCTGTTTTCTCTAGACTTTAGAAGGTTAAAGAGTGATCTGATCGAAGTCTTCCAAGATATTAAGAGGAAAAGCATAGATAAACTATTTCCACTGGTTGGGAATTCTACAACTCGGGGACATAATCTGAGAATTAGGCCAGCCCATTCAGGAGAGATGTTATAAAGCACTTCTACATACAAAAAGTGGTAGATGTTTGGAACTCTCTTCTACAAATGGCAATGGATGCAGGATTCTTTGTTAAATATAAATCTGAGATAGACTTTTTTGTTAAGCAAAGATATTAAGAAATATGAGCTAAAGGCAGGTGTATGGAATTAGGCCACAGATCAGTGATGATCTCATTGAATGGAAGAACAGGCTTGAAGGGCTAAATGGTCTACTGTTCCTATTTTCCTGTGTAGTAAGAAAATCTTTGCAGAATTTTTCAATTTTGTCTGTTTGGCCATAGACAGTCACAATCAGGCATGCATCACTAAGTATTCAGTCAATTTTGTTAACTATCGTACGAGGCAATACTTTACTGATCCTGATTCATAAACAGCTGCCCTAATTAGGCCACAATTAAAAGGCCCTCAAGGCTTTTTCAATGTAGTAGCACCTTGATTTGTAGGAAGTCTTTATTTGATTTCTGCAAATACCTCACCCATGGTTTAAATTTCTGCAAAGCAGGAACAGGCAGGTAACTAATCCTACTATATCAGTTCTCCTTCTACCAATTTCCACTGGAAACAGTAAGTTAAAATTCTGACATTTGTAATTATACATCTTACACCAAAGCTAAATTTACAAACAAGGGGTTTGATTGTACGGACATTGCCAAAGTTGGCTAATTATGTATGTTTTCATTTAATCCATTAGTAACGCTGTACTAGTGTTTTTCAAGGCTATAAAATATATATTCTAGATCATGGCATCTGGAGTTTGCTCTGACAAATGCAATTTCTTTGGAGTTGTTGTTCCATTTTGTAGTGTCAATTGCTAGTAGGGAATTAACCATTTACAGTAGGGACCTTTTCTATGTCACAATTTATCATTATTTTTGAATAAAACTTTATGGATTTTAGCAGCTTTTATATAATATTTGAATATTGTATGCCTTGTTTGGCATTTTCCAACAAATCATCCCTTCTTTGCCTAACTGTAAATCCATAAAATCATTCCTGTTTTTTTTGATATTCTGCATTCATGTTAGAAGTGGTTAGTTTCTTTCAGAGATATTTATGAAAGAAAAGTTAAAATTATAGGAACATAAGAACAGAGATAGGCCATTCAGCCCCTCGAGCCTGATCCACTATTCAATGAAATCATGGCTATTTTGTGGCATAACTCCATATACCTACTTTTGGCCTCTATCCCTTAATACCTTTGCTTAACAAAAATGTATCTATCTCAGACTGAAAATTAACAACAGTCCAACATCCATTGCTATGTGTGGAAGAAGTCCAAACATTACCACCCTTAGAGTGTAGCAGTACTTTCTAAGATATCTACTGAATGGTCCAGCTCCCTAATTCTCAGACTATGCCCCCTATTTCTAGAATATCCAATCAGTGGGAATAGTCTATCTTTGTCTATCCTGTCTTTTCTTGTTAATATCTTGATTTGATGTCTTTTTTGATAGTTGGCCACTGGCCTGGCAGTAATGAAAAACACCTACAGCTCAAAAATACTTATTTCCTTTTGTGGTTACAAACATTCAATTCAAATTTGTTAATGTTCTAGCAAAGATCACATATTCTGGCAAATTACTTACTTGGCTAGCACTTGTTAATATTTCTTTTGTGGCACTTTATTTCAGTTGCTGTACCCTTGCCTCACTGCTCACTATGCTCAATTTGAGCTGTAAGTAAATTCCAAACTTCAGTCTTGTCCAGCCTAGATCATTGTGTTGTTTTAAAACTTTTCATAATCCACCAGGGATTTTAAGTCATGTTCACAGAGCCTCCAGTAGCTGTTCACTCAATGCTAAACTCCAACTTGGAATGGCTCCCATAAACCACCACCTCCTGATACAGCATGTATCTGCTTTGGAGTTACTGATTCTCATTCTTCAGAAAGTTGCTAACTCTCCTGTTGCATTGCATATCTTAACAAGTCTGATTTTTTTTTAACCAGTTATTGGAGTACACTTCCTTTTTGACGATCGTCACAAGGGTTTACCTTGTGGGGTTCCTACATATTCAACTCATCCGTACTGCTGATTGTGCTGAGGCAATTTAAAGTTGAGTTTGAAGATCTCAAAATGCTGTGTACCATGCAGTATGAGCTACAAATCAAATATACATCACTGCTTATGCTGTGTTGCTGCACATGATGAAGATTGCTGCCACTATCCTATTTAAATTTAGAAAAGCACATGGCCTGCTTGGTGTAGTGTGGTAGAGGAAAACTACTTCTTGGTCTAATTAAAAGAGTCTCTTGTAGTCAACAAGGTACAACTTAATGCATGTTAGCAACTGGTTACATATTACATTGATGTGGTAGATAGACGTTGTTACAAAGACTCTGAGAAGTTAGGTCTCACTCCTTTGAGATCCAAAGATGTCTGCCCACAAGTCCATATCAAAGCATTACAGTGAGGTTGTGTGTATAGCCCTCCTCAGCATTAACCCTTTCAGGCCCATATCCAATAATCTTGACAAAACTATGTTCCTCCATTACTTTGTTTCAGTCCTTTAAATAGGCATATCTGGTAATTCCAAAGAGCACTCTTTCATTGTCATCCAAGATGTCTGGGAGTATGCTTAAAAAGTCACCCAACCCCACTGAAACACATTCTTGTGTCACTCTTACACAACACTACTGTAACGTGCCTCATTTACATAGAACGTACATGTCAGAAATAGACAATTTGACCGAATGATTGGGACACCTTCCATCATCTATTTGCAACAGCTAGTCCATCTTTTAGGCAACCCTTTGAACTGTCCAATAAACTTGAATCCAGTACTTTTCGGTTTTGTTTTTTCCCTTTTTGTTTGTTTACAACAAAATATTTTTGTTAAAGTAATGCTTTATAAGTTTATTCATGAGAAATTTTGTTTTGAATGTTGTGTTAAATGTTGTATAGCTTAAATTTTTATCAATAAGTAAATTTGTTTTTTTACAGGGAACAGATGGTGATTTCACACCAGAACAGGATTAAACAGCTTCAAGAACGTCTTCAACAGATGTTAGGTGATGAAGATAACTGGAGGGCAAAAGTAGGGAACTTCTGTTTTGCTAGATTTTCTAAATACGTATTGTGACAAGTGACATTTTCTTAAACTACAATTAATACCCATAGAGAGAAGAACATGAATGAGTCAACAAATTAATCTGACATTCTGGATAAGTGGTCTTGGCAAACCATCAGTGGGAAGATTGCCTTTTAAAATTAATCACCCTGTTATCAGAGGTTATCTCAGATGTGTTCTTTTGTTTTAAAGAAAAACATCTTGAATTTTTGCACAGAATTCTTTTTGTGTTGTTAGTAACCATGGCAAAGTTTGGCTGGTTCTGATTTTAATGACAATCACAAGTCCTGATTGGTGTAATTCTCAAAATAAGCTGAATGTCATTCCCATTGGCATACATTTTCACAAACTGCATCTGTATCTAATGTCAAGCCTGCCCTGTAAAACTGGTTGCAAGCTTATAGATCCAGCTTTCACCAAAATAATTTTACAGGTAAAGATTATGTTTCTTCTGTACCATTCTTTCAATTGATATCAAAACTGTCGAAGTTTCCATAAAATATAATAAATAGCAGCAACATCAGGATAAGATTTAAGAGAAAAAGAGCTACAATGATTGAAAACAAATTAATTTCACTTATACCCATTTAAGGTTGGTAATGTCTGTTAAATCTTAAATTTGCTTCATCGCAGCCCTCCAAAATGTTTGCACTTTTTAATTGCAAGTGACACAGAAACTTCATGTGACAATAAGTATCCTTTCAACTCATTCACAAAGAACTATAGCTGCATTCTTTTGAAACAACATATGCACAACCATTGAATAAAGTTATGTTTTCTACCAAGCAAAAGGCAGATTCATTTTAATATTAATGATAATTATATGTTAATTCTGTAGGTAGTGGGTATTAACTGAAGCTTTGCATATGCCACTATAAATAGCATAGGCTGAATTTGGTGTTGGATTAAGAGGTACATACCTGCAATGTATAACTCTATAAGTTAATGCTTGTATAAGTGTGTAGTAATTGGCTTTGGTTCTTTCCTTCACCAGTTAGATTTCTGGATTATGATTATAACAGAAAATTCATGAAATTGCAATCTGTCACTGCCCATTAGAGACTCATTTGAAAGACCAGTACTGCTCTACATTTCCCTTCACCTCACAGCCAACTTTAAACAGCCATACGCCTGATCTAACATGAAGTCATGCATATATTTAATGTTTTTGTAACTGAACATTCAAGACCAAGCTATTGTTTTTGACCTTCACCATAAACTCAACTTGTGGCACCTGTCTTCATTCTTTCCCTGGCCAGTTACTGAACGAGGCTATGCAAAGTATTAACATCCTGCTGAAGTTCAACCATGATTTTAATCACTAAACAACTTTCTTCCATCTCTGCAACATTATTCACTTCTATTGCTTCCTTAACCTAAATACTACTGAAAACTGAGTTAATTTGTATCATAAATGATGCCTATCGAGTTGATATGCAAAATGATCGACTATGGAGTAATACAAGTCCAAAGCATATATAATATTGTGAAATATATGAATAGTTGAGTGGTCATGGATCATCTTCATTAATAATTGTTGCCCTAGATTGTCTTTATTTCAGTAACAAAAAGATCAGATGCAAAAAATTGTATTTCTACCATTCATCTCACCATGGTTTGAGTAATATATTTATTGGGAAGCCTTGTGACACGGTGAATATGTTCCTGTCTCTGACCTGGAACTTTGGATTCATTTCCACTCTAAGACTTGATAGCTAAGAACAGTGTTTACCTAACATGGCCAACAGGTTGAATATTAACTTGAAAGGCCTTCCTATATATGTCATTGGAAAATGTTAAGATTGGGAGCAATTTCTGGTCAGCTATGTGATGGAATAGAAAAACTAGGAAACTCTACTCTGACTATTCAGAGATCTGAAATAAAGCAATTTGAACTGAATGGAGTCATTAGGCTGCTCAGCTGGTGTGAATCAGATTGGTGCTAACAACGCAGTTTGGTACCAGTTCTTGCAGAATGACTTGAGTCCTGCCTCCTTTCCTTACCTGTGGTGGATATCATGGCAATGTAGGTCTGACCTGCCTTGTGCAGAAACCTGAAAGAGAAGATCTTTCATGCTGCATAAACAAAATCATTCTGACCCAAACAAGTGTTTTATTGAATGGATTGCATATATTTTACGGAACTAGTGAATCATGTAGTTTTACTCATGGATATTTATTTTTCTAACATTGAAAGCCTGACTGGTCATCTTCTCACTAATTATTCGTAAAAAGGAAATAAAGGTGTGCTGAATGTAAGAAACTAAGGTGATCCCTTTATCAGAATTTCCTGTTCTTGTGCCTGTGGTAATGAATTACATTGGCACAGCCAATGGAGAAAAATCATACACAGAAGACTGAGGAGTGAGTCAATTCTCCATCAATAACTTCAAAGGATGAACAATTAGGCAGCTCAAATTTTCTTGTATTTGCTGTGCGCAAGAATGCTTACAAGGGTAAAAGCACAGGAACAGATCCCACCATCAGCCTGAGCTAAAATCTGAGTGATATTACTGGCTTCATCATCCCCTTACAAAGAACTGGAGTGCTCAATAAGTATCAATACTGCATCAGCAAGTTGCAGCTAGCTAACCCCAGGAATGGCAGCATACTTGGAGGTGTTCTTGTTTCCCTGTTTCATTTTCAGGAAGGAACTTTAAAAACAAAGGATCTGAAGACCTGTGGGTGGAAGCGTACCAAAAGTTTGGAGACTCGGATAAACTGGATCTTAGAGGTGGATAATGGCATGGAGGTGACGTTTCTGTATGAGCAATTCTGAGACTCAGGCTAGTGTTGTAGGAACCTGGATTCAAATCCCATCACGGCGCTGGTGAAATTTCAATTCAATTAATAAATTTGGAATATAAAGCTCGTCTCAGGAATGGTGATGAAGTCGAATATAATCAATTGTAGTATAAACATAAATCGTTCACTAATGGCTTTTCAAGAAGAAAATCTGCTATCCTGTCCCTATCTGTTTCCTATTGGTTATCCAGTCTTCTTAGTGTGCCAAAATATTGTAATATTGAAATCTTATCTTGTATAGTAATTCTTTTTATGACATTTTATTGAGTACCTTTTGGAAATACAAATGCACTGCATCTATTTGATCCCCTGTATCAATGCTGTTGGTTACCCTCAAGGAACTTCAATAAATATGTAGTATATAGTTTGATTGATTGTCTTAACATTTTGTAAAGATGTGTCCTTTGGAGTGTCCAGGTCATTTTTGCATTTGAAAATCATTCAACCTGCACTAGCTATTTTTTCAGTCATTTATAACTAATGTTGTTGCCATATCCATAATATTGCTTGCTTTAAAAATGCTAAAGCCTGCTCTTGTACCAGTAACAAAAGTAAAAATTCAAGGCAATATAGACCGTATGCACTAATTTGAATTAAATTTACCCCGTTGGTAAATTTTAAATTCTTTGCAAAAAATTTGCAGTTACTGCTATTTGATTCTATTGACATCATTCTAAACTGTATGCAATGCTCATTACTTGTTCTCCAGATAGATGCAGCGCTATCGAAGCAACAGGCTCATCACTGCACAGAGCTTAAGGAATTAGCACTACGGATGAAGGAAGAAGCAAAGATTGAAATTGATACAGAAAGACAAAAACAGCAAGAATTAATAAATAAACACAACAAAGAGCACAAGACATTACAGGCACAGGTTTCTGGTATATCTTGACTAAAAATAGCTTCTGAATGCTATGATCTCACAATTGTGTACATTTGTTTATGAGTGCATATGAGCAATCTAAGTATACAACATATGCAAGAAAATAATTATGCAGCCCATTACATTCCTAGTGCCATTATGCACACTTTTTCAAATAACATTTTATCAAATGTTTTATTTTCCTGCAGTATTCTTTGACATGATTAATGAGCAAAATAATTTGTGGAACTGTCTTCATATGAAATCTCTGGTTGTCCGGTAATGGGCCTCTTTTTGTGGGTATTCAATTCTGATTTCTCTCCTCAGCTACTAGAAGACTTTTACAAATTTACCTCTCTTATTACTTTTTTTAAAGGCATATTTCTTCTGTAACTGATTTTAAAGGTATTCTGGGACTGAGTGTTCAGATGGTATCTCTGGAGAGTTTTCTTTTCAGGGATCTTCACATCTGTTGTTCAGCACTGTGGCTTTCCTGGCTACTATCTGATTTTAAAGCTATACTGACACTTTATTGAAAAAATATTTTTATAAAGATCCTTCTTTTTACCAGATGATTTCAGGCCTATTCCTTGATCTTCAGTGCTGCCACAATTTTCTAGGCAGTATATCCCATCGCTGATGCCACCTATTATCATGTGGTTTGGTGCCAGACTCTGAGTTTAGTTTCATGCCAGACCGGTCGAGGAGAAAGCAAAGCCAAGAACTGTCTTCAAAATTAAACTTCAAAGTAACATTATTTATAATACATTAATATAAATACAGCTATACACGATAATCATAGATATACAAGGCTTTGATTTATAGTTACATTAGGTAAGATTCAATCTATCTTCTTCATATATTTATGTCCATGTGCTCATGTGAGACTTCCAGTCTAGATTGGTGAGGTCTGATGGCGTTCTTCCAAAGGGCAGTGCAGTGTGTCCTAACATTGTCCTTACTGCTCTATTTATGCTCAGGGACACGCAGTTCCATGACATAATTGAAAGGTTGCTTCAGGGTCCCAAAGCCCTTACAGAGCATTAATAAATACAATTCTTATGTGCAGTGCAATTTTTAAACAGTAGCTGCTTGTAAAATAAATGAAACTCACGTACCACCCCACCAACCTCCGGATCCAACGCATCATCCTCCAGCCCTTCCGCCATCTGCAATTCGACGCCACCACCAAAGACATTTTTCCCTCCCCACCCTTATCTGCTTTCCGGAGGGACCACTCTCTCCGTGACTCCCTTGTCCGCTCCACACTCCCCTCCAGCCCCACCACACCCGGCACTTTTCCCTGCAACCACAGGAAGTGCTACACCTGCCCCTACACCTCCTCCCTCACCCCCATCCCAGGCCCCAAGAAGACTTTCCACATCAAGCAGATGTTCACCTGCATGTCTGCTAATGTGAAATACTGTATCCGCTGTTCCAGATGTGGCCTCCTCTACATCGGGGAAACCAAGCAGAGGCTTGGGGACCGCTTTGTGGAACACCTACGCTCGGTTTGCAACAAACAACTGCAGCTCCCAGTCGCAAACCATTTCAACTCCCCCACCCACTCCTTAGACGACATTTCCATCCTGGGCTTCCTGCAGTGCCACAACAATGCCACCCGAAGGTTGCAGGAACAGCACCTCATATTTCGCTTGGGAACCCTGCAGCCCAATGGTATCAATGTGGACTTCACAAGCTTCAAAATCTCCCCTCCCCCGACCACATCCCAAAACCAGCCCAGCTTGTCCCCGCCTTCCTAACCTGTCCTTCCTCCCACTTTTCCCCTCCTCCCACCTCAAGCCCCACCCCCATCTCCTACCTACTAGCCTCATCCCGCCCCCTTGACCTGTCCATCCTCCCTGGACTGACCTATCCCCTCCCTAACTCCCCAACTACACTCACCTTTACTGGCTCCACCCCTGCCTCTTTGACCTGTCCGTCTCCTCTCCACCTATCTTCTCCTTTATCCATCTTTTATTCGCCTCCCCCTCTCTCCCTATTTATTTCAGAATCCCCTTCCCCTCCTCCATTTCTGAAGAAGGGTCTAGGCCGAAACGTCAGCATTCCTGCTCCTCTGATGCTGCTTGGCCTGCTGTGTTCATCCAGCTCTACACCTTGTTATCTCAAACTCATTAATGTAATAGTTTTAATGATCTCCGACTTTCCAGAACTTTGCAAGATAGTCATTTGTAGGTTAAGAAACTCAATGTTACAAATGTGTCTTCAATCAAACTGTGAATTGATTAAATTTTGTATTTAATCAGGGCGTAAGGAAATATTTTAATCAAACAAAGGATAACAACAGTTAAAATGACAAAACTCGAATGCCAGTATGTAAAGTGCATAAGAGCATAATTGCCAGACATGATCAAATATGGATGAGGCTAATATGTACTGAATATATCAAAATACTAGTTGTGCATTTAGATTTTAAGACCGTAAGAGAGCATGGATTATGTAAAAGCCTTTAGACTTGGAAAGCTCTTTCCCTTCACAATTAATATACAAATCATCTTTATTATAGACTCTATCCAACACACTCCCGTAGTATAACTACTATTTCCAGATATTCTGTTATATTTGTGGAACTCTACAGAGATAACAGAAGTCATACTTTGGGAAGACTGTAAGGGTGCTGTACAATGCAGTTAAAATAACAAATAATTTAAAAATGTCAAATGATTTCAAAAGTAAAATTTAAGCTTTCCTGTCTTCATATTATGCTTATTAATTCAATAAAATTTAACATTCCTCTTATAGCCATGTTGCCTACCAGAACTAATTGTCATTACTTTTTCTGAAAGAGACAGCTAATAGATCATCAGCATTTTTGAATTCCTAATGAAAATTATATTGTCTTTCTAACAACTTTATAAATAGGTGGATAATAAAGTTGGAAGTTTGGTAAATCAAGTACTTTTTCACCTCAGTTGCTGACTTCTGTTTTGTTTTGGATGCTTTTTGTTAGGTATCTGACTTGATCAGTGATGTGACCAAAGCATTACAATTGGAAGTAAGCAAGCTGAAGAAAAAGCTTCAAGAAACTCAGTGCCAGTTATTGGAGAGTGGTCATTCTAAAGATGGTAAAATCTATAACTTGGAAAAGGTAATCTCTCAACTAGAGACACAGCTGAAACAAGAACAAGGCAAAGTGGAATCCATGACTGAGGAACTGAGGACTGAAATACAGCAGAAATCAATTGAGTTGAGAGAAACACAGCAGGAGTTACAGCGGCTAACAGGTGAACTGGACCAGGCCAAACAAGAGGTATGTTTCTCTTTGCTTATTACAAATGCCTAGCTTTATAACACTTTTTAAGAGAGCATGTAATCTCTCTACTTAGCTCCGATGCCTTAATCGTTTAACATATTAAGCAGTTGAACTGTACAGACCAGGAATATTCCTGGTGTGAGCCCTTGTGTTTGGTTCCTTTGTTAATCAGTGAAAGTACCCACATATGGAAATCAGGTGAGGGCAATAGTGATATTCTCACTTGTAAAACATTGGCTTATTAATCTTACATGTCTCTTTATCCTTAAACACCCTTCACAAAATGCATTGGTCTACTTCCTAAGCAATTGATAATGTAATAAAATAACTCACTATTATGTTATATCAATATAATATGTTATAATCAATATTATTTGATTAAGGCCCAATTACTCATGTTGAGGAGGTTAGAATTTGCAACAGAACCCAGACTGGCAGGGTTCCACCTCAGATCAACTCATTTGGAAATTCCAACACTTTCCAGTGCAGGTCATAATATCATGGATGGACATATTGATAGATCTTTTGTCTCCCTGACGTGGGATTAACAAAGGCAAGTAGGTGGAAGAATACGGAAAAAATGAAAAGATCAGAACCTTGATGTTGAGGACCATTTTCCCCATGTAGCAGTGACTACATGATTTCCATGCATTTACATCTCACTGAAGCCCTAACTAATTTATATACCACTTACAATTCCATTCCTCAAGAAGCTAAATGGTGCAAATTCCCAACATCTAAGTACTTTGCAGCTGCAGCTTGCCTGAATGCTTGTCCTGGTGATTATTCTAACTAACTATTTTATTGCAATAGTGATCTGTATTCTCGATGAACATGATCTTACTTGACTTTCCATCGACACAAGTAGGCATCAGTAAACTGCTAGCCTTAATACATCATTGTGCCTACTCTCGGACCAATTCACACATTGCGTCACCCTTCAACACTCTAGACTTCTGTGTCACCTGTGACTTGCATGTCTCTGCCAGCTCAGTTTGCATGCAGAGACAAAAATGCATCTCAAGCATCTGTACAGGATGCATTTATGGCTCTTAGCTTTCTTTCTTAGTGCTCAGTCACTTTGTGTCTACTTAGAGACTAACAATCTGTTTATACCTCACATTGCTTTCTTAACACACTCGCGGATTTCAGCATTGACACAGACAGGCTGCTAGCATTTCTATGTGTCACATTGCTTTCTTAGCTCACAAGGTCTTCAATGTTCAGTTGAAGGCTGCCAGCCTCTGTAATTTGCACTGTTTTTCAGCATACAGCGGCTTCAGTGCTCATTTACAAGGTTCCAGCCTCTAATGGGTGTATTGTTTTTTTAGTTCAGAGAGAGAGCAGATAACTTGTCTCCATAGGGACCACTGAGATTCATGGGAGTGAATATGTCTGTGCAGCACTGTTCTATGCAAAGGTCATACCTGCAGTACATGCCAGCAACTTATGTATGTGCTTCAAGGATTAGTCAGGGTGCTGTGGAGACTTTACTCCATGGGTGAGCCTTGGTTAGTTAGGGCTGTCCTGCCAAGTCTGTCCAGGTGAACACAAAACACAGGAAAGGAAGGCAAGGCAGAGGTAATGTAAAGATCCAAGTTGATGCAAAGTGAGTGAGTGCTAAGAGAACCTTGCTGCAATCTGTGAGATGGGTCCTTGTCTGTTCTTGCAGAGAGACCCAGCAGTCGCTTATAAGGCAAGGCACGGTATGCTCCAAATTGCAGTATTGACGTAGTGAAATGTATTCTAAGTGAAGTGGAGATGTGCTAAAATAATATGATACTTGTCTGATGCCCTGCCATGAATGGGAGGCTGCAGGTAGTCACTGCCCATGGAGTGTTCCCTGAGATGCTGGAGAATACTAACAAGTTGGAGGTTTGAAGAAGCATTCGGCAAAACAGAGTCACCGGTACCGACTCTGGCTCATATCAGGAATTGTCAACATTAAGCAAACTATATAAAACTGAAGCAAGGATAGGTAATAATGAGATGTAAATGCAATCAAATAGGTCTCTTTGTTCACTAGCGAGATTCTTGCCTTACCATTCAAACTTAGGTAAAAAATCTGACTTTTTCTCAATTTTGAGAATCTAATTTTTCTGATATCATCATACTTGTCTTACTGATTCGCATTTGCCCACAACATTCAGGGACTGAAAAAATTCTGCCCCCAGAGGTGAAATGATAACTCTGTTTCTCTTGAAGTTGATGCCAAACATACGTGTAAGTCTGATATTGCTGACATCATGGGTTCTGGCAGAGCGCTGGATTTTATTTTTCTCGGTTGGTTGAGGAAAGTGGAATAGAAACTGAGGCATAGTCACTCCTGTCCCCACCATCTCTGTGCAACCAGTCAAACATTGGGTTGTCAATTAGTGGCTCCCAAATAGGAAGGTAGCCAATCATAGTTGAATAGGAAGTTTTTTTTCTCAATTACAAACCTTCTTTTGCACTTTGCAATTATTGTCAGGGCCAATTACTCATGCAAATCTTTAGATGCCAGAATGTAACCAATTCTTGTGACTTTAAAATAATATAAAAAATAATGTACTGTTGAATTTCTGTTGCAGGTGCATTCGCAGAGGCTGATGAATCATACCTTGGATGTGAATACATAAACTTTTTTTTGATTATTTGTTCATAGGATGTGGATGTTGTTTGCCAGACCAGCATTTCTTACCCATTCCTTTTCTCTGGAGAAGGTGATGGTGAACTAACTTCCTGAATTGCTGTAGTCCTGTAATGCAGAGACCCATGCCAATAATGACATGGGTTCAAGTCTCATCATGACAGCTAGTGGAATTTAACTTCAATTAACCTTAGGGTCACAGTAGCCAGGAAACTGTCATTGGTTGTTCTAATTCACTAAAACTTGGTTTGCCTGGGAAAGAAAGGGTCCACCCTTACCTGGCCTGGCTCACATGTGGTCTGTACCCACAATAACGTGATTGACTCTCAACTACTCTCTGAAATATGCTAGGAAACCCATTCAGTTCACGGAAAATTACGATGAGCAACAAATGCTGGCTTTGCTGATGATGGTCACGTTTCATGAAAAAAAAAGGAAAAATATTGTAGATGCACTTCCAAAATAATCAATATAACCTGATCCAGCTTTTCAAAAGTATTAGGAATGATGGCAATGGATACCTGCTCATGAATGTTTGAGCCAATTTATTTACATAAGTTGCTAAAAGAGATAGTCTACATTCAACAACATGGAGTTTGTTGCTTTGATTTCACCAGTTATGCTATTAACATAAGATCCAGTTTATTATGTCATGTTCCTACTGAACTCTAACAACCACAGTGTTATGTGGTGCTCTCTACATGCTTTGCCATTTTGTTCTAAAATATGCCAACACACTTACAAATCAAGTGTTTTAAGTATCAGATTCATAGCTGCAATGTAGATAGTTCAATGACAGTATTTGGCAGATCTATAATTCAGAATCAACTTTCCTGCTCCTCTGATGCTGCCTGGCCTGCTGTGTTCCTCCAGCTCCACACTGTGTTATCTCTTACTCCAGCATCTGCATTTCTTACTATCTCCTTATAATTCAGTATTTTGTTTTCTTGACTGTCTTTTGTAGGTTTTGCAATATGCCTTTTTGCAGTTCAGTTTATCTAGTTCAGTGCGATTAATAAACATTTTCTCTAAATGTAAAATAACTTTAACATGTTCCCACTTGCAGAATACATTTCTTGAAGAAACTGTGCGTAGAGAATGTGAGGAACGCTATGAACTCACTGAGGCTCTTAGTCAGGCCCAAGAACAGTTGATGGAACTAAAGAGACTCAGTAGTGAACATCCACATTCTCAACGTTCAATTAGCCAAAGAAGTCTGAGTTCATCCTCATCATCTGCAGGGAGTTATAAGATCCAAAGAAGCCTCTCCAACACTAGCAGAACTAAACTTAGTGACTTGCATAGGCTCCTGGTGAATGCAAATGCCTCAAATAATGCTGGAACCACTGCTTTACCAATTATACCAGTACCACAGCCATCAAAAGGGAGAGCCTCATCTGTCAGTGAAATCAAACAGAGGATTGCAGCTGCTGTAAGAAGAAAATAAGCTTCTCTCAAAAAAAAGTAAAACATTGCACGAAAACCAATCTGCTTGGATTATTCATCTGATGTTAAAGTATATATACATATGTTAAATAAAAGTAGATTCTAACAATGCACTGAAATTGTGGGCGATTGGGTTTTCTGCCAAGAATGATTAATTGTTGTGTAGCTTCGCAAAACCATAAGTTGCTTTTAAATAAAGCTAAATATGTTCTCTTGCCCAATGATTCTGGGAAATAGAAAATGTTTTCTGACAACGAAAAGTTTCTTCAGATCCATTTACATCAGAATTGCATGGAATGGACAGCACAGAAATTGACCATGCAACCGACTGATATATGCCAGTTCTTATGCTCCATATGAATCTCCTCCCACACATCTTCATCAAATCCTATTGGCATATCTTTCCATTCCTTTCCCCGTTATGTTTTTGACCAGCTTCCCCTAAAATGCATCCCTGTGTTCAACTGAATGACTTATGGTAGCATGTTTCATATTCTGACCACTCCTATTAAGAAGTTTCCCTTCAACTGCCTGTTGAATTTGTTGATGACTACATATTTGTACTTATGACCAGGAGTTTTGATTGTGCATAAGTTATAATTAACTTCCCTGTGTTTACCATATCAAACCCCTTTAAATCATCTTAAAAACAAATACACCTCTCACATTCTTCTCTTTTCCAAAGTCTCTGAGCTTATTAAATCTTTTCGATGATATACAACTTTTCAACTATGATATTTTTCAATCCTTTCTTGCACTTTCTCTTGCATCTGTTTGTTACTTTTATAACATAAATATCTGTATACACCTAAGTGATTTATGATCAGGGGTCTGGATCAGGTTAACAGAATCTCTTTCCTTTTCAATTCTATCTCTTATTAATGATTTGCTACGTGTTGTAATTTCTGTGTCTGTACATCTCAATCCCTTTGCTACCCTAGCCCACTTAGACTTGTATTTTGCAAGGATTATGTGACATCTTAAATCTGCCTATCAAAGTGCAACACATTACACTTACTTATGTTGAAATTATTACAGATAAACACATATTTTGCAACATTATTGGCATTTGTATTTTGTTGTAATTCTTAGTATAAACTTTAACTTCATCCCCAAATTTGAGAGTTCTGTGATGTAGGAGTAATGCCCTTAAGTATGAGCCTGAAAGTCCAGATTCAAGTCCTACCTGCCTCAGAGATGTATCATATCAAAACAGGTTGATTGAAAGTCTGCCATCCCCCCGATCCAATATGGCATTACTTGCAGAGTTTGAAATTGGCCTTTCAGTTCCCGGAGTAAATCATGGACAGCAAAGACCCAAGCACTGATCCTAGTGGAATACCATTTCCCGCTCTAAGTTAGTTGGAATAACTATCCTTAATGCCAGTCTCCATTTTGTGATCAGTTGTTTACCTTTTTTCTGTAACATTCTATTATGTATGCTCTGACCATTGTCATGAATCCATGTTACTGAAAGCTTTTGCCAATTTAAATATAGTACATCTGTTGCCTACCATTGTCTTGTCTTTCTGTTATTGCTTCTAATCATTAAATAATAATCAAACATATCATTGCCTTTATTATTTACTTCTGGTTTCTAAATTTATTAATTGAATCACCACGTTCTACTCTAAATCTGTTTATAATTTTTTTGCTCTTTTCTTAATTTTTTATATATTTTCTAATCTTTTGATTTAGAAGTACCTGGATTTATAATATGTATAGTAATAAATGCTCAATTTGTCTCTGCCGACTTGCATCAAAGATAAATAAATTTATCTTTCGAAATATTTCTTCACAGTCATGAAATTAAGATCGTTCCAACATTGTGAAGCATTAGCAAAAATAGTTTATGATCATTTGTAATGATAAATATTATGACATTGAATTTGTTAAATGGATAGAAACAATTTTTTTTTAAACAGTCTTTCAATAAAATGTACATAAATGAAATCCTGTAGGTTTTATTTTTGTACAAGATGATCACCACATTTCTCAAATTGCTGTATATTCATCATTTAACAGTTATGGTCAATAAGAAATATGAAATATAAGAAATGCATTTCTTGTTTTCAAAACTGTTTCTTGCATCCTAGTTCTGATGAGTGCAAAATGAAAACCTTCAACTTCCAGTCCCTTTTAACAATGTTTAAATGCATTTCTGGATTATCAAAAATGAAATACTGAAAATTCTAAAAAGTTGTTAAGAAAAATGTAGATCACAAAATTCAACTCTTTAGTGCCTGGCTTTTGGGCACTGCAATTTCCAGTTGGTTGAATAATGGCACCAGTGGCACATCAAGTACATCTGATGTGAGCTGTGCTGATCATCTTTTCATTGAGCAGATTAATATACATGCAACATTGATTTATGCCATTTTAAAAGTCAGTGCTTCAGCTAACACTGTCACATAAGCAAGTGCAGATCAATATTCAGGCCAAGCAACATCATAGGAGCAGAGAGGCTGACGTTTCGGGCCTAGACCCTTCATCAGAAAAGGGGGAGGGGAAGGGGGTTTTGAAATAAATAGGGAGAGAGTGGGAGGCGGATAGAAGAGGGATAGAGGAGAGGATAGGTGGAGAGGAAACAAACAGGTCGAAGAGGCGGGGATGGGGCCAGGAAAGGTGAGTGTAGGTAGGGAGTTAGGAAGGGGATAGGTCAGTCCAGGGAGGACGGACAGGTCAAGGGGGCGGGATGAGGTTGGTCGGTAGGAGATGGAGGTGCGGCTTGGGGTGGGAGGAGGGGATAGGTGGGAGGAAGAACAGGTTAGGGAGGCAGGGACGAGCTGGACTGGTTTTGGGATGCGGTAGGGGGAGGGGAGATTTTGAAACTTGTGAAATCCACATTGATACCATTGGGCTGCAGGGTTCCCAAGCGGAATATGAGTTGCTGTTCCTGCAACCTTCGGGTGGCATCGTTGTGGCACTACAGGAGGCCCAGGATGGACATGTCGTCTGAGGAATGGGAGGGGGAGTTGAAATGGTTCGCGACTGGGAGGTGCAGTTGTTTGTTGCGAACCGAGCGTAGGAGTTCTGCAAAGCGGTCCCCGAGTCTCCGCTTGGTTTCCCCGATGTAGAGGAAGCCACACCGGGTACAGCGGATGCAGTATACCACATTGGCATCCCCCTCCACTGACACCCTCATCCGCTTAGCCGAACTCGTCCTCACACTCAACAACTTCTCTTTCAATTCCTCCCACTTCCTACAGACAAAGGGGGTAGCCATGGGTACCCGCATGGGCCCAAGCTACACCTGCCTCTTTGTAGGTTACATGGAACAATCCCTCTTCCGTACCTACACCGGCCCTAAACCCCACCTCTTCCTCCGTTACATTGATGACTGTATCGGCGCCGCCTCGTGCTCCCACGAGGAGCTCGAACAGTTCATACACTTCACTAACACCTTCCACCCCAACCTTAAATTTACCTGGACCATCTCTAACACCTCTCTCCCCTTCCTGGACCTCTCTGTCTCCATATCGGGCAACCACCTCGAAACCGATATTCATTTCAAGCCCACCGACTCCCACAGCTACCTAGAATACTCCTCCTCCCACCCACCTTCCTGCAAAAATGCTATCCCCTATTCCCAATTCCTTCCCCTCCGCCGCATCTGCTCCCAGGATGAGGCATTCCACTCCCGTACATCTCAGTTGTCCTCGTTTTTCAAGGACCGTAACTTCCCCTCCTCGGTGGTCGAGAACGCCCTCAACCGTGTCTCCCACATCTCCCGCACCTCATCCCTCACACCCCGTCCACGCAATAAGAACCAAAAAAGAATCCCCCTCGTCCTCACGTACCACCCCACCAACCTCCGGATCCAACGCATCATCCTCCGACACTTCCGCCATCTGCAATCCGACCCCACCACCAAAGACATCTTTCCCTCCCCACCCTTATCTGCTTTCCGGAGGGACAACTCTCTCCGTGACTCCCTTGTCCGCTCCACACTCCCCTCCAGCTCCACCACACCCGGCACTTTTCCCTGCGACCGCAGGAAGTGCTACACCTGCCCCCATACCTCCTCCCTCACCCCCATCCCAGGCCCCAAGAAGACTTTCCACATCAAGCAGATGTTCACCTGCACATCTGCCAATGTGGTATACTGCATCCGCTGTACCCGGTGTGGCTTCCTCTACATCGGGGAAACCAAGCGGAGACTCGGGGACCGCTTTGCAGAACTCCTACGCTCGGTTCGCAACAAACAACTGCACCTCCCAGTCGCGAACCATTTCAACTCCCCCTCCCATTCCTCAGACGACATGTCCATCCTGGGCCTCCTGCAGTGCCACAACGATGCCACCCGAAGGTTGCAGGAACAGCAACTCATATTCCGCTTGGGAACCCTGCAGCCCAATGGTATCAATGTGGATTTCACAAGTTTCAAAATCTCCCCTCCCCCTACCGCATCCCAAAACCAGTCCAGCTCGTCCCTGCCTCCCTAACCTGTTCTTCCTCCCACCTATCCCCTCCTCCCACCCCAAGCCGCACCTCCATCTCCTACCGACCAACCTCATCCCGCCCCCTTGACCTGTCCGTCCTCCCTGGACTGACCTATCCCCTTCCTAACTCCCTACCTACACTCACCTTTCCTGGCCCCATCCCCGCCTCTTCGACCTGTTTGTTTCCTCTCCACCTATCCTCTCCTCTATCCCTCTTCTATCCGCCTCCCACTCTCTCCCTATTTATTTCGGAACCCCCTTCCCCTCCCCCTTTTCTGATGAAGGGTCTAGGCCCGAAACGTCAGCCTCTCTGCTCCTATGATGCTGCTTGGCCTGCTGTGTTCATCCAGCCCTGCACCTTGTTGTCTCGGATTCTCCAGCATCTGCAGTTCCTACTATCGCAGATCAATATTCGTTCAGTGAAAATGACCACCCCCATATATTTAAGGGGAAAATTAACTTCTTTCAGTTTAGTTACTGACTAAATTCTTCTGGCTCTTGCTGTGATTGCTGAAGTATTAGGCATGTTCTGGATTCCTTTGAGGTCGCCAGTGTCTGCAGAGGAGGGTGTGACACATTTTGAATGACTTCATCCTGACTCCAAGGATTCTGCACAAACTATTTGTTTGCAGACAGGTACAGTATTTGGATTCCTCCTGGCTACAACTTCACAGGAAGAATGAACCGAGGCAATACAGAACTGGACAAATATCTGGAAGAGACACAACAGGGAGAAGGACTCTCATCTGTGCAGAGAGTTCAGACAGCAATTCCCCTATGAAGCCTGAGTGAGGAACATGGTGTCAGACATCTCTACTTCAGCAAGGATATGCTTACTGAAATTTCTCATCCACTGCCTCTACAGCTGCAAATGGGATGACAGCACCATTGTCACTAGCTGTTACTGTTGCCATGAACTGTTAAGCCTTGGACCTGCACCACATCAGCTGCAGCAAAAGAAAGTGCAACATCTCCAATCCACAATGAGGACCACTGTGATTCTACATTCTAAGAAATCTTGAAAATAATTGATTCTCTTATGGAAGATGGATTCAGAAAAATAATTTGAGAGATTTCAGGATTCCCAACGATGCAAGGTGATATTGACTGCAATCAAGTAACTTTGTAGGAAATACAGCACAACTTCCCTTTGTACCATAACCAAAAGGAATTCTAAATATTATCTAATCAACTTGTTAAGAGATTTATTACACACCTCTGGGGCTGGTGGAATTTGAACCTCCTGGCTCTAAGGTAGGAACACTGCCACTATGTCACAAAAACCCTCTCCAATAGGAGATTCTATTCTCTCAATATCCAGGCAGTGCACAACCATATGCAATAGATCATAAAGACCAATGTTTAGTATTCTGATACCAGGTATGGAGCCATTATTTGTGTGGCAGTTCGCTGTGCTATCTGCATTTGAGTTATCATGACAAACCGGAGGATAGCTACTGAGAACCAAGGTTTATCCTTCAACAACACAAAAACACCACCACTGCACACACGCAACACCAGTGTGTATATAACAAAGGCCATACTGTGATGTGAAATGTGATAGAGCAGATCATTGGCATATGGAAACAATGCTTCCTTTGCATGAACTGCTTTGGAGATTGCTACAATGCTTGGCAGAGCACTTGCAGTTGTTCGCTGCATTCTGCATAACCCTACCATTATGAAGCACAGCAGTGCCACAAACTAAAAGGCAACAGCTAAGGAAAAACAAAAAGGGAGGGGGTTCTTTTTCTGACTGGGCTGATCATTAACTCATCTAACTGCAACACCAAAAATGCTTTCCAAATTTTCCATTCACCTACTGTGTCACATACCTCCCTCTGTTACTGACCATCACATTTGACCACAAAACTAAGATAAAAGTTAACACAAAATAAATATTCCAAATGAAATTTGTAAATCAAACCATATGTTACAAGCATGAGGCATAACCAGCATATGTTCAGTGATCTGGAGATTAATGTCTAACCTTTTAATTTGTATAAGTTAAAGCAGAGCAGCAGTCAAGTTTATTCAAGGTTAGTTTATTATGAGCTATTACTGAAGGTTTGTTAGGGATTGTGATAAAGATGTATAATATTATAATTTAGGAATTTAAATTCAAACTTCGAATAAATAAATTTTGGTTTTAATTCTGTGAAGGGGATTTGATTATATATAATATCAGAAAGTAATTTAGAACAGTGAGCTGAAGATGGCCTTCTGGAGAAAGCGTGTGGATTTAAGTTAAATGACTCAATCAGCTACATGGGGAGTTAAATCACAAAGTGCCTAAATTTATAAAAGATGGAATTGCAAGATGTTTCACTTCATTTGAAAAGAGAGCTGGGAAGAAGAAATGGTCACAAGATACTGGGTCTTTGTGTTATAGAGTACCTTGACAGGTACAGCTGTAAATGTATAAACCAGAGAGTCAGACAATAATCCACAGACTATGCA